AGTTGAACATAAAAACCCGGCTTGATACACTGTCTAGTTATACAAACTGCATGATGGTTCTCATTTACCACTGCTCTTTTACTTTCTAGGACTTTATGGGGTAAGCGGTCCTAAGTTAACTCGTCTTCTAATGATGTTCGTAAATAATAATATTTTTTATGTCGTAAGTTTAACATTATTAATAACATGTTTCTTTGTTACTTACAGTCACAAAATTCTGCTAAGTGCTTGAGTTAGCAAGACTTGATTTTACTGGTAGTAGGCTTCTAGGTAGTATGATATTAAGTAGGTTCCTTTCTTCGTGTTTCTGGCTTACAATAAATGATCCCCCGATATATCTTTTATTAGTATTTAGCTTTCAGGAATTACATACAATGCTTTGTGCTCATTTATACACTTGGTTGTCTTTCAAATTGTTTACAGTCTACAACAAGACGCGTTTTCTTACTGAACCTCGGATTTAGATCATGTAATCTCCAGAAGTATATTTATGTAGACTGATTTCAGGAGTCAAACAATACGACCTTCAGTAACAATTTTTATATTTGAGTGTAATACAATCATCGGTTACGCCATTAAATAGACTTACTATAGGATTTAAACAATACAATAATCAGTTACAGATATAAATAGTCTTATTATACGATTAAACATTACAGTCTTCATTAACACACTTGTATAACTTGAGCTCAAAGATTAAACAATACAATCTTCAGTAAAACATTTCTATACAATCTTCAGTGACATATACTTGTACCCAGTGTCTCAACGGTAAGGTTTCTAAACCGACGATGACACACTATGGATAGTCCATTGTGTAGCTTTGTGCTTAATATCAAACAAACAGACATATTATTATAGCTAGAGTGTAGAATTAAAATAATACGATCATCAGTGACATATTTTTATTGAATTGAATACAGGACTTAAACAATACAGTCTCTAAGAGCAAATTTTTCTAGCTTGAATGTAAGGCTTAAACAATACACTCTTCAGTGACACATTTCTACAGCCTGCGTTCAGAATTTAAACAATACACTGTCCAGTGACACATTTCTACAGCCTGCGTTCAGAGTTAATGATGAATAATAGCAGTCTAGGGATATTTACACTGCTAAATAATTTACAGCTCGGAGCAAGGTAAGATTGAGAGTAAATCTTTTTATATTCCACAGTTTGGGGTACGTTGAAAAAGTGACAGTCAATCTCGTTATTTGGTTCAAAGAGCAGGACATAATTCTTGTGGCACTAATTTCTGTTGGCTACCTGCTTTCTCTCTGGTTAATATATAGTTCAAAATTATACCTGAACACCAAAGGTCTCTGTCCTCTTGTACATAAGGTATCATTCAGGCTGAAAATAGCAATACCTTATGTAATAAATAAAAAGTTGTTTTACATATGTTTATAAAATTTCTGAGTTAAACTGCAATATGAATTTTTCAGACAGTTTACTCCATGGTTACTGACAGGACCGGATTAAGGACTTGGAAGACGGAGTAAATTTTGTACGAGGCCGTCAGTACTGAACTTTATAAATAAGTCAAATACAACTTAATACTATATATTAACTACAGTTTGAGCAATACACAAATACAACCTACAGGTAAGTAATATAAAAAATATTAATTCTAATATTTATATTAAAAATATAAAGTGATGGGAACGATTTTTTTTAATGCCTAGTAAATAGTTGTGAAAGAAGCAGCTGTAAGAACATGTTAATGAAAAATTACAAAATAATATGTTTATATGAAAAGACTAAAAGCCCTGTTGTCATAGCAACATAGTGGCAAACAGATGTTTCTGAATGAAGCACCCAGCTTTTGATTATTTGTTTATTTTTTCTTAACAGGGAGATCCCCTCGATCCGGGGAACACCCATATTCCCCCCATCCCCCATTCTGGCCCTGGCCACAGATATACTTGAAACTCGTAAAAATCATGTTTGCTAATCCACGGATGTTTTCCACATGATGCAAACAAAAATGTTCCGATATTTATCTGAAGTTACACAATAAAATCCATTTAACTCTCCTTTTACCAAGATGTTAAACAGACATATAACAGAATAACATGATTTATGCGTGTCTTCCTTGACTGGTGTAAGTAATATGTCTGTGACGTGTGAAAAAATAACTCAATTATAAGACGTATGAGCAAAATGCTCCCATGCTAGTGAAACAAGCGACCCAATGTGCAAACTGTGCCCTTATAGTCACGTGCACCTGTGACGATAATCAAAGGACTCACAAAAATCACGTGGTAATTTACTTATGGTTTAGGTTTTGTTTCAGAATTTTCACTCACTGCTACACAAGGGCTAATTGTGCATAGCAGTCCATAATTTTGAATTGATAGACTGGTAAACAATATCCACCGACATCTTTTGAGCTACTAATAACTACGAATAATGGAAATTTTATGTTACTCTTACAGCAACCACTACTTCAAAGTGTGGAGCACGTTCCAGCAGAAGCGGTCTAAAAACTATGATTTTTTAATTCACAGTCCGGGTAAGATAACCATTACTTTACGCCCGACCTATCTCTCTCCAAATCTAAAGAGTTTATCCCCCCAAAAGTGAAACTACTCATTTTCCACATAAAACGCACATGAAACCTCAACAGTGAGTAGTGGGATTGACTGCAGTACTGACAGTATTTTTCGTACATTATTGTGTGACACTTTGCTAATACGGATGCGGGAATCAACAATGTCAAGGATCCACAAACAATTTGGTGAATAAACAATTTTAGAGTCTTTCAGTGGGTGAGGGATAACTTTATGGGCTTACATCGCTACAATCCGGGATTCAACTCCTCGTAGTGGACATAGCGCAGATAGCCTATTGAGTAGCTTTGCGCTAAAACACACGAAATAATTTAGAAAAGTGTTTGAAAACCCATCAGTAATTCTAAGGTTAAAGGATATGATTCTCAACTTAAAAACAGAGGGCGTCTACTTATACAAGAGCTGTAAATAATATTTATCAAAACGTTAACTGAATTCTAAAACATCGAAACAAGGCATCTAATACAGTTTGATAACATTTCCCAGTTAAATATTAATATTATCATTTATATAATGGCAGATTCTGAGGCAGCCACATTCCGTTATTTTCCACTTAATATTTTCTGCTTTGATGTACAAGTATATAGAAAGATGCTTTCATCGGATTCACTTAATGGGACATGCCTCTGTATTCATGCTTTAATATGTATGTTGCAGAATCCTACGGTAAGAAAGTCTCAATTAGCAAGAAAATGTGGAAAAATCTGCGGAAACTTTTAGATAGATATCTACGGGAAGATTCTAAGATAATATATCAACCACGCTCTATCTGCTATATCCGGTGCCGACGAGGAGTTGTGCCTAACACCAGGACTTTTCAGACCGGCTGGAATATGCTCTTTATATTAGCATATTGCTTGTCAACAACTGTTATGGTGTAACCTTGATTGAGTCGGTGAAGTGTAATGTTTCATCAATTCTATTTACGTCACAAAAATACACTATGAACATCTGTCAGTGTATTCGTCATTTAAGTTACGTGCCGTATATGCTGTGCAGCGAAGTTTATTTAGAAGCGTATACGAGGTAAGCACTGTGATGTACAAAACTATGACGTGAAAAGTAACAACGCACAACATTCAGTTTCATACTGTGTTTCAGCTCTAATAGTTTTCTATACACATATTTCAAATACACAAGGTTTTTAGAGCTAGATTCACAGCAGTCAAACAATGTCATTGAACATGAATTGGCTACCAACAGTTTCTAAATATTTTGTTTTATACATGCAGAAAAAAATCTAATATTATATTTAAAACTATTCAGAGTTATTTTTAAATACAGGTTGAATCAATATCCCACATGCCATATATATAAATAAACCTACACAAGGAGGGTCTGTGGTTCCCCCGATGGGGGTTCGGGAGTCCCTATAAAAAGTAGGGCCCGCAATTATAGAGAAAGTTGTTATTTCTAAATATTTTGTGTTTTACTTTTTCTTGTCGTCTTTATTTCTGTTTGAATGTTATTCTCTGGGGAAACTCTATGCATACTGTGTGTAAAGGGGGGCGGCGCCCTTGTTATACCCTTGGAGTAGTAGTCTTTAGGAAGTCAATCAGTATTTGAAACTTTCAACCTGAATATCATATATGCATCACATGGGCGCAGTAGTCAGGTCAGAGGCCCCAAAATATAGCAATAACCATCCCTAATTTGGGACTGTTGATGATAGGGGGAGCAACCAGCTAGAATAACCTTTGTTTGCACAGCTACCCTTAACCACCGCCTTTTGCCGTTATTTAATTTTAATTTTATTTCTATTGTTTATTTTATTTTTGATTTTAACTTTATGAAAATAGTTAACAAATCTTATAACTATTATCCCACATAAGTCTTTTATGAACTTTACATACACCTTTGGCACAAAACTAAACCTGACACAAACAACTCTAAGTTATAACTGGCTAGCTCTGAAGGCCAACTCATATTGAACATCCGGTTTACGTGACATCGACATCAGAACCTATATATTTCATCACACTCATTAAACATAACCCTTTATTCTCCTGAAGAAGAACAGTCAACTGTTCGATTGCGCTAGAGTTTTGGGTCTCGTTTAGAAAATATCATTCTACAGTGTCTGATAAAATTGGGTACTACTACAGCGTGCGGTCTACCGGGACTTTTACACTATAAACAAAGCATATAAAGATGGTGAATAATAGCAATCTACCTGGGATATTTACACTGCTAAATAACTTATTAATGATGAATTATAGCAGTCTACCTAATAACTGACTATAATTAAACATAAATGCACAAATTAGTACAAGTAAAAATATTTTCCTTGCATCTTCCATACGCATGTTAATTCGGTTAAAAATGTATGGGTAATGCATCCAATGTTTTTCGTCAATCACCTCTATCTAACACAGATTCACACTACTTTCTGGTAAACATGCACTTTAGGATTTAAAACTTCACTGTGCTACTGGGGGCAATAATAGATGGAAAACTACTTGCACATATGTGTTGTGTATAAATTTTAATGAGAAACAAAATAATGTGTTTTTCTATCTTCTCAAGGAATATACACGTGTATCGAGTACAGATTTTAATAAGTAATAGTAAGGTAGACATTTCTTGGTTCATAAATGTTCTTGGGTATTGCACAACTTTTAATAAAAGACTATACTTGCCTGTTTGAGGACTACCAAATATATTTTGCCATAGAAGAATACCATCAGCAGCGTCGGATAGATTATAGTGACAAAATAGAGGAACACTAGAAAGTCGTAGCTCATCACCTGCGTGAAGAAACAGCGCCCACTGGGCTCAGGTCCGGAGTTCCAGCCGAAAAGCGGAAAGAAGCCGATAGTGGAGCCTAACACCCAGCAGACCAAGACGATAATTGCTACTGTCCGTCCAGTCATTATCTGTTGGTAGCTAAACGGGCGAAGTACCGCCCAATAACGGTCCACAGACACTGCCAACAAATTAAGAATAGAGATGGTACACAAAACTACCAGCAGAGAGAGCATGGTCATGCAGCCACTAAAGTTCCCTTCGGGCAAGCCTAACTTGGTTAGGATGGCTGAAGGAACTCCAACCAGTCCAACCAAAAAGTCTGCCATTGCTAAACTCAAAATATAATAGTTAGTGACCTTTCGGACGCGTCTGTCCAGGCCAAAGGCTACCATTACCACAAGGTTTCCGATTACGGCAAACACGGCCACGATCATTTCAAAAACAGTGTACATAATAGGTAACTGACTAACAAACATACTGATAGCTGAGTTGTGATATCTCACAAACCCGATACGTCAGCGCTACACCTAATATAGTGAAGGTTTCGACGTTTCTCGCTTCGCAACCATCGATTTAGTGGCTCCAACCACAAAAGCTGAAGTTTAGGATCTAGCGCATGCGCGACAAGACAGCTAAAGGCCTATAATTTACATACGCTTGGTTTAACACACAGGTGTAAAGATATTTTTCGTAGACATATCCAAGTCCAAAAACATGGACAATTATCATGTGCATATTCAAATCCAGAATCGGAATAGCGCTCTTAATCCAGAAACACAATTTTATCATATAAAATAAATACTACCCAATGGAAATTAAGTAAACGATGGTCAACAGATACGATTAAGTACTAGTAATATCAAATATTAGTTACTTAATTAACTGCGGAATGATGTATATTCTGAAAAGATCAGACAAACGAGTTTGCCTGGAACCATATATATATAGGTAAGTCTGCGGACTTATAAGACTAGAAATCGAGTTTCGATACTCGTGGTGGGTACAGCACATATAGCCCATTGTGTAGCTTTGCGCTTAACTACAAACAAACCGTCTGCTATTATAATCTATACACAATATGCACATGCGATGATTAAATACGTAAGTAGTTTTCTGTTTTTCACGATAATATGTACATCATATATACATACATTAACCAAATATGCAGTTAGTTTTCTGATACTGATTCATGTTTTTATACAATACACATGTGAGTTGGTCAAACGTGCACTGTATGATCAGACAGGAAATCAGTTTTCTGTTTCTCGATAACAAAAAGTGTCTTTACACAATGCATAAGTATACTGATAAAAAAGACAGGCGTTTTTATAATGTTAAGGTTACACAAAGCTTCGAAATAATATACTTTTCGTATCCTGAACTTTACAAACTTCACTGTTGTTTCCTCCTTCAATTGCTCATCATTTAAAGGGAATAAATTATTAAGGAGTTCCTCACGATCAACCTTTGTTTTCATATATTAGTATTATGATACACGTAGGCATGACAAATATGGGATGATTTCGTTCTTCAACTCCCATTTCTGTTGTTTTTCTTATTTCTTTAAATTTCCTTTTTTAAGCTGGTTATTTGCTTTGCATCAATCAGTATCAGTCGTATTATTTTCAAATGATCGCCTGTGACGTACTTGATTGATTAAACTTTGTCGCCCTTGTCCAGAGGATATTGTTTCGATTAAGTTTTTTATATATGTACCTTGCTTAAAACATAAACCATAAAACGTTTTCCCTTAAAATACACGTAGAACTACTAAAAGGTATAGTACATCACTAAGTGCAACGCTTAATTAATTAATAAGCACGATAATAGCAGTCAGTGATAAATAAAATGTTTGTTTGTTTGTTTTTAGAGCAAAGCCACATTAGGCTATCTGCTGCGTCCATCGCGGGTAATCGAACCCCAGATGTTAGCGTTGTAAGTTCGTAAACTTACCACTTTCCCACCGTGGGATTAAATAAAATGGCTTGTTTGTGTTTTTTTTTCACTCGATCATACAGTTGAAATGATTGTACAGTTGATTGTAGTGCAAACTGGAGAGTTGTATTTATTTTTTAAATGTATATATATATACGAAATCGGTTAACAAGTGTCTTGTTTACCCAGTTGTAATGGCGAAACGTTGGCTTAAAATAAAACCTGTTATATTTTATGGAGCAATAGGTTGTGTTTTTCTATCTTTTATTGTAATTTTTGATTTCTTTTAAACAAC